TGGGGTTGTTAACCAATGTCATTAAATAATATGTGTACTCCTGTTTTTGAGAAACTATTTGTTCTCTAAACCTTCACCTTAAGTACAATTAATAAAAAAAGTGGCTGAAAAAAAAAGTCAGACTTATTGGCCTGTCAGAGACTGGAGAAACCCCGAGAGTATGGCCCCTGGACACCCTTTTAGCTCAATAATGAAGTCACTCCCGAGGTTCACCCTTCAGTCACAGATTAGACAGCCCCATAAAACAAAACAACACTAATGGTGCACAACAGTCCAGGAACAAGGGCTAGAAGGCAGGAAGGAACAGGAAAGCTGGTAATAGGGAACCCAAGGTCGAGAAGGGACAGTGTTGACATGTCATGGGGTTGTTAACCATTATCATAAAACAATATGCATACTAACTGTTTAGTGAGAAACTGTTTGTCCCGTAAAACATCTAAAGTACAATAAAAAAAGCGCTAAAAAAGAAAAAAACTAAAAAAAAAAATTCTAGCCAATAGAATTCAGCAACATATCAAAAAAATAATTCACCATGATCAGATGGGGTTTGTACCAGGTATGCAGGGATGGTTCAACATTAGAAAAACAATCAATGTAATCCATCACATAAATAAAACAAAAGACAAGAACCCCATTATCTTATCAATCGATGGAGAAAAGGCATTTGACAAAGTTCAACATCCATTCTTGATAAAAACTCTCAACAAAATAGGAATAGAAGGAAATTCCTCAACATAATTAATGGCATTTATACAAAGCCAGCAGCCGATATCATCGTAAATGGAGAGACTTTGAAAGCATTCGCCTTGAGAACGGGAACCAGACAAGGATGCCCCTTATCACCACTCTTATTTAACATTGTGCTGGAGGTCCTAGCCAGAGCAATTAGGCTAGAAAAAGAAATAAAGGGCATCCAAATTGGTAGGGAAGAAGTCAAAGGATCTCTGTTTGCAGATGATATGACCGTATACACAGAAAACTCCAAAGAATCCACAAGAAAACTACTGGAACTAATAGAAGATTTCAGCAATGTTTCAGGATACAAGATAAACATACAGAAATCAGTTGGATTCCTTTACACCAACAAAGAGAACCTCAAAGAGGAAATCACCAGTTCAATACAATTTACAATAGCCCCCAAGAAGATAAAATACTTAGGAATAAATCTAACCAGAGACGTAAAAAACCTATGCAATGAAAACTACAAGACACTACTTCAAGAAACCAAAAGAGACCTGCATAAGTGGAAAAAGATACCTTGCTCATGGATAGATAGATTCAACATTGTGAAAATCTCAATTCTACCCAAAGTGATCTACAGATACAATGCAATCCTGATCCAAACTCCAATGGCATTTTTTAATGAGATGGAAAAACAAATCGCCAACTTCATATGGAAAGGGAAAAGGCCTCGAATAAGTAAAGCATTACTCAAGAAGAAGAACAAAGTGGGAGGCCTCACACTACCTGATTTTATGCTGCCACGGTATTCAAAACAGCCTGTTACTCTTACATCAACAGATACATAGACCAATGGAACAGAACTGAGAATCCAGACATAAATTCATCCACCTATGAGCAGCTGATATTTGACAAAGGCCCAAATTCCGTTAGCTGGGGAAAAGACAGTCTCTTCAACAAATGATGCTGGCTTAACAGGATATCCATCTGCAAAAAACTGAAACAAGACCCATACCTCACACCATGCACAAAAACTAACTCAAAATGGATCTAAGACTTAAATATAAAATCAAAAACAATAAAGATCATGGAAGAAAAAATAGTGACAATGCTAGGAACCGTAACACATGGTATAAATACAGTATGAACCATAAGTAACAATGCACAAGCAACAGAAGAGAGATCAGATAATTGGGAGCTCCTAAAAATCAAACACTTATGCTCATCAAAAGAATCAAAAAGACAACCTACTGACTGGGAAAAAATTTTTTGCTAGGATAAATCTGATCAGCATCTAATCTCTAAAATCTACAAGATACTGCAAAACCTCAGCAACAAAAAGACAAATAACCCAATTAAAAAATGGGCAAAGGATATGAACAGGCACTTCACCAAAGAAGATATTCAGGTGGCTAACAGACAACTGAAGAAATGCTCACGATCATTAACCATTAGAGAAATGCAGATCAAAAATACAATGAGATATCATCTCACCCCAACAAGGCTAGCATTAATCCAAAAAACACATAATAATAAATGCTGGAGAGGTTGTGGAGAGACTGGAACAATTATACACTGTTGGTGGGAATGTAAAATGGTACAACCACTTTGGAAATCAATTTGGTGCTTCCTTAAAAAGCTAGAAATAGAAGTGCCATATGATCCAGCAATCCTCCTCCTTGGAATATATCCTAGAGAAATAAGAGCCATCACACGAATAGATATATGCACACCCATGTTCATTGCAGCACTGCTCACGATAGCAAAAAGATGGAAACAACCTAGGTGCCCATCAATGGACAAACTGATAAACAAATTATGGTATATCCACACAATGGAATACTACGCAGCAATAAAGAAAAACGATAAAGCCGTGAAACATCTTATAACATGGAGGAATCTGGAGGTCATTATGCTGAGTGAATTTAATCAGTTACAGAAGGACAAATATTATATAAGACCAGTATTATAAGAACTCAAGAAAAGATTTAAACACAGAAGAAAATATTCTTCGATGGTTATGATGGTGGGGAGGGAGTGGAAAGGTTATTTGCTAACTAGATTGTAGATAAGAATTATCTTAGGTGAAGGGAAGGACAGCACACACTACAGGGGAAGTCAGCACAACTGGACTAAACAAAAGCTAAGACGTTTCCTGAATATAATCAAACACTTTGAGGGACAGAGTAGCAGGGGTTGAATGGACTGGGGAATCAGGGGTGGAAAGGAGGAGTGTGCTGTTACAGTATGGGGAGAGCAATTAGAGTCACATAACAATGTATGCATAAATTTGTGTATGGGAAAAAATTAAAAAAATTTAAAAAGGGGCACACCAGTCCAGAGGCCAGGACTAGAAGGCAGGAGGGGACAGCAAAGCTGGTAACGGGGAACCCAAGGTCGAGAAGGGAGAGTACTGACATGTCATGGGGTTGTTAAGTAGTACCATAAAACAACATATGTACTAACTCTTTAATAAGAAGCTAGTTCTGTAACCTTCATCTAAAGTTTAGTTAAAAAAAAAAAGAAAAGAGAAGAATATTGATGGATATAAATCACATGAATAAAAGATATTTGTGGTCCTAAATATTTCTTAAGAGTGCATAGGTGTCCTAAGACCAAAAAGTTTGAGAACTGCTGTCCTAAGATGAAATGTATTCTAAGCCAGCAGCCATTGTGACATCAGCTCCAGGGCAATGATCACCATATGAAGGATTCCATGCAGTTGACCACAGAACTCTCTAGTTGGGCTGTCCTTTAAGAAAATAACCACCAAAGAGTGCCTACTGCTGCCTTCGATGTTCTCCATATTGAAATCTACTAGTTGGCATTCTAGTTACCCGGCAAAGACATCCAGCAAATTGTAAGAGAAAGACTATTTTATTCTGACATTGCTTCTTCCTGTGATTCTGAGCAGGTTTCCTAATACCCTGCCTCTTGTTTCATTATGAAAGATGTACAAACTTCAAACCAAGAGAGTAAAATCTACCGCTGGCCAGATGTGGACTTCAAATGTATCTAAGATCAGACAATCTCTTAAAAATGTTTACCATAAATGCAAGATCCAGCACCCATATTCAACTAGATATCCAAGAATGGATTCCTATGATTGTGCTCAAGATGACGTTAGCACTGATGAAGAAAGGAATCTTAGAGTGATGCTCCAAGATATTAAAACTTCCCAAATTGAACTCCTCAGCCAAATGACTGACACTGTCACTTCAGTAACAAAAATCCAGAAGAAGAATGACCTTTATCAGAAGCAAATGGAGGCACTGGAAACCAGAGTGAGTGTTAACAAAGACAAACAATGTACAATCACTAACAATATCTTCTCTATAAAAGAAGACATCGATGACTTAAAGAAGAAGATGATGGAACTGGAAAACTGCAATTCTTGCTCTGTCATACATTGTTCAGAGGTTCTGGAGGGAGAAAAGGGTACAGAAATCATAGAACTGCTTCAGAAACTCATACAATCAGAAACTTTGAAGAAGACATCAGTCTCTACAGAATCTAGAATCTCTTCAACAACACCAGAGAAAGTGCCCAGTTATCCAGGCTCCACTGCTCATCTTAAAGGAAAAGCAATTTCTCTCAAAATCAAAACTCTGAACAACAGTAACCATCCACCAAGAAGCTTTAAAAAAGCAAAGTCAAATATTTACATTTACCCAGACTTTAGCACATGGATCAAGCTAACTTTTGTTCATGGAGGAAAGTGGAGATTTTTCCTTAGTGCTACCAAACTGGAGGAGTTCATCCAATGGCTTCTTTCTGGGCCAACCATCCTTCCTGAGGAACCAAGGCTCATTACCCAGAAATACTGTCTATTTGCTGGGCCTATTGCGAGTTTGACCACAATCTGTCTCTCTGTTTTCAACTATATTTACTGCCTCTTTCGATCCTCAAAACAGGAAGTAACTCGACTGTAGAGTTATTTCATGCTGTGCTTAACACAAAATAAAAGCAACCTGGTCACTCCAAGCATTCACTCATTTTTGTGGTGGCTGTGAACTCTTTGGTGATTTGCTTATTGTAGGCTCACTTTAGGCCAAGTATCTATACATCTACAGTCAGTTAAGGCATATCATTCCATTGGACTACTGTGGTCCATTTCCTGTCAATGTTTTTGTTTTCTCAGGGGCAATTCATGAAGACTCATCCAATGCATGTTTTCCTAGATAATTGGAAGCAGGAAATGAAGGGGACAAAGAGAAATGTGAAAGATATTTGGTAACCCCCAGTCAGTTTTCCATATACTCTTGTCCTGGTGGCCTTGACAGATAAAATATGTGATATCAGAGACAAAATTTTGATACTAACAAAATTTTAAATGTTATAGAGTGAAAAAGGTAACCATTGTCAAGGCTGCTAAAGTTATTGTTGCTGTTAGGTCCCGTCAAGTCAGTTAGCACTATAAAAATGAAGCTCACTGAAAAGACAAGTTATGGCATAGAAAATACTAATTCCCAAAATTGAAATTGTTCTTTCAACTTCAGCTTCAGATCTATAAAACAATTAGATAATGGGGGAAAGGTCATATGTACTACTGGGTAATTTTTACTTTTTCGTGAAATGAGATAAATACTATGTCCTGTAAGTCTGATTCAGAGAAAAGGGGAATTCTAAGAAGGGGTTTGTGAACCAGGTTAAAGCTCAAGACTTTAATACTGCAGACTCTTATACAAGCTGTTTTTTTATATAAGCCATACGCTGTATATCCAGGGTGGACTTCATACTAGGTAGCTGCCATCTTAATATAATTTTTCTAAATGTTATACGTGATAACTATTAAGTGTTTCCTTTACCACTTGATCAATAAATAAAATCCTCCTCCAGAAATCTTCTGGACCATATGCTGTTAAAATACACATATTATTGATAAATATACTACCTTTAATGATTCTAAGTTAATAACTTGAAAGGGAGCTTTGGAAGTTAGCTGAGAACAACCCAGTTTCAGTGAGAAAAAAGGAGCTAAGATGTAAAAAGGAAACTAAAGAAGTATGGTAATAACAAGGACAATTTTGTCTGATGCACATCTGAAAGTAATTATATAGTACAATTTTTTTCACTTAAAAATACATTTTATTTTATCTTTCTTTATAAATTTATGGGAGTCCCAAGGTGGTTAAATGGTTAACATGCTTGGCTCCTCACCAAAAGGCTGGAGGTTTGAATCTACCCAGAGGTGCCTAAGAAGAAAGGCCTGGCAACCTACTTCCAAAAAATCAGCCATTGAAAGCCCTATGGAGTACAGTTCTACTCTGACACACATGAAGTCATCCTGAGTTGGAATCAACTGGATGGCAACTGGTTTATAATTTTCAGATAAGATGTGTACACAAGAAAACTTTCAATATAGCAGCATGAGATAGGTGCAATGGGGGTGGTACTATCTATATACCCACTTAAGAGCAAGGTTATATATCAAATGAGTTTGCTTAAAATGAGATGACTGTGCTTATGAAGTATTGTTCTGATGCAGTCTTTAGCGCTCTCTGTGTTTACTCACCATCAGAGGCATCGCTAAAGAACAGTCAGAGTTCCAGGTGGAAACACTGGTGCAGTCCTCACTTCAGGAGAGCCACAGAAGGTGGGCCATGACATAGGCCAGTGACCTCACAAGTCGCTGCAGGGAGAGAAAGAGGTGACCCAGCTAATGTATGCCTGAGTCATCTAAGCCTCTGTAAATCACTATACACTTTCCCTAAGGCCAATAGGATGAGGATTCTCCCCACTCACACACCCCTTTGTTGTTGTTGTTAGCTGCCCTCGAGTTGGCCCCCAATTTATAGCAACCCCATGCACAATGGAACATCGGTCCTGTACCATCCCTACGATTGGTTGCAGATGGGACCATGGTGATCCATAGGTTTTAACTGGCCGGTTTTTGGAAGTAGATCACCAGGCCTTTCCTCCTGGAAGCTCTGCTGATACCTCCACTGACAGATACACATATCGCTGAGACGGCACTTAATGTTTCTAGAGAAAAGACATAGGCCTGACAATCAGAAGACCTAATTTCTTAACCATCCTAAATCCTACCCTTACTAACTCTATTATTTAATGTCAATTAGGCTGGTTTTGCCATCTGTAAAAAGGGAATCATTACATTTAGCAATTATTTTTTCCATGTTCAGTAAGTGCAAGGAATTGTGGAGGAGAAAAGTAAAAGCAAAATACAATCCCTGTGCTATAGACAGTTAACATCAAGTGGGAAGACAAAACAGGTACACAAAAACCCTAAAGTGTGATAGACAGGGATTGGCAGCAAAGAGCACTATAAAAAGGGCTCCAGGTGTCAGAGAAGGAAGAGCAGCAATGAGCCCTGTGGTGGGGCTAGGAGGAGGGTGAAGGCTGTGTACCAGGCAGAAAGGAAAGCATAAACAAGATCACAAAAGTGGGGGCTGGTAGAGAATGAGGGAAATAAAAGCCACCAAGCATTATATGCATGTAAATACTGACAGGCTATTATTTCAACCCTTTTATGGATCTCATTTTTTTCTTCAGGGATTCCCACAATGTTTATTTTAACAGGTTTTTACCTACACAAGAATGTTAGAGGCGGATAAGGCGAGAGGACTCCACATCACTCAGGGTTTCAAGTTACCCCTCCAGACGACTGTTTGTCCTGTTGATTCGCCTACGTTTTCTGTGAGAAAAAGGAGGATTTTTCTTTTCAGTTATTTATGATCATCACCTAGACAAGATCTCATCTACTTGACAAAATTATAATTCAGCTTGTAACCACACATGAGCAAATAAACTTTCCCCTTCTCTGCTTACAAATGTACCTGCCTCTCCATGCAGGCCACCTCCTTCCACCTGACTCAGAGGAACTGGTGTTTCTCTAGTCCATCTTCTTCTTCATATTGCTTGTAGGGTCTTCATCAGTTATTTCCTTTCTTTACTGTTAATTCCTCTATAGTTTCATTCCCAGCCAAAGCACCTCAAGCACAGTCACCACTTATCAGTCAGCGGAGGTTTGCATGTTGCTATGATGCTAAACAGGTTTCAGTGGAGCTTCCAGACTAAGACAGACTAGGAAGAAAGGCCTAGCAATCTGCTTCCAAAAATCAGCCAATGAAAACCCTACAGATCATTGAACGGTCTGATACTCAATGATCATGGGGATGGTGCAGGACTAGGCAGTGTTTTGTTCCATTTTGCCTGGGGTCTCCGTGAACTGGGGCTGACTCGAAGGCAACTAACAAGAAAGCACAATAGCTTTGGTGTCAGATCGACCTGATTCAAGAACTGGCTCTGTCACTTACTAGCTGTGTGACTTTGGATTTATGCCAAAGTTTACATTCCAAATGTCTCAGTTTCCTTAGTCTTAAAATATGAATAACAATCACAGGTTGTTGTCAGGAATAATGAAGATTGTTGTGTGAGCCCTTGGCAATCTTACTGATGTACTACTATATGTGTAAAATAAATTATATTTATTATTACTACCTTTTCATTCTCATCTTTCCATTATAACTTTACATGCAAACCACCATTCAGTCACACGAAATGTCTGGCAGATTTTTTTTTCAAATCTTGTGTCTTTTTACCTGCAGCTCCTACTGCCTTGGATACCCTCTTTTGTCTGGACAGTAAACAATAATTTGTCATTTGAGTTTCAATCCAAATGTTTTTTCTCAGAAATACTTTTCCCTGATCCTTACCCTCTACCCCGATCTCTCTGAGGAAGAACTGGGCATTCCCTTAACCCTGCCAGGGCCACATTGTAGTTTTGTGTTCTCATGTCTGTCTCCTTCACAAAACCATGAGCTCTGATGACAGAGTTGGACTCCCACCTGTTTATCTGGAGAACCAACGTCAGTTTTACTGGTAGGTTCTCAGTAAATGTTTTTTGAACAAAAGACAAAACAAAACAAAAAGACAGGGAAGTATCATTATGCTCTACAAAAAAAAAAGTATAAATTAGATGACTGCCTATAATGTATATAAGTTAAACCTGAAAACCAGTCTATAAGCATAGTAATATGCATTTGCCAAAATGTTTCAAACCACTGTCACTGCCATTAAATTAAACACGTTTATTGGGGAGGTAGCACTCTGTAGTGAAAAGCACAAGGACTTTCAAGGCCGAACAGACCTTAGGGTAGCTCTTCACTGAACATCTATGTGTCTCAGGCACTGTGTAGAATTTGGGAGTCCAATGATGAATTGGTCTCATAACTATCTAATTTTAGAAAATACCTCAAACCTTATATTCTTCAATTTTCACAACTCTAAACTGAGAACAATTTATGTCATAAGGCTATCATTTTGAGTAAGTAACATCACGTGTGTAATCCTTCGGAACAGTGTCTGACCTAGTAGATTCTTAACAAATGGTGGTTGTTGCCTTCCCTCTGTAGACTAGATGCTAATAGGGGGCATGAAGATGAACAGGAAGCGGGCCCTGCCTCAAGGGGCACGTATTCAGAACTCTGTCTCTTTTTGTTAGCCATAAAGAGTCCTAGACAAATCATGAACAAAGTGACAGGCGAAATACAAAAGCTCCAAATCAACTCTTGACTTCTTCAACCAAAGATAGTGTGATAAGAATAAGACAGGGTGTGAAGCTCTCCTCCTGTTCTGGGCATTCAACCAATATTCCATCATCCGCAACAGCCATTCGCCAACCTTTAATTGCATGCTATATAATGAAGCAACAGACAGAAAGATTTGGGGGAAGGGAGGAAGTTGCATTTAAGATAAATAATTTAGTTCAGTTTGGAAGACTTGCTTGTATAGACACAGATTCTGTTCATTCAGAAACAACATTCACCAAACACTTCTTGAAATCTGACTTTGTGCCAAGAACTAGCTAAGCTAGGTGTAAAGAAATAGAGATGAAAAGGCATCAGTCCTCTCCTGAAGAAACATACTTTCAAATGGTGTTCTTTCCGGTTGCCAGTTATTTGAGCCTGTT